ATGAGAGGAAACCATTTGACTGAAAAGCTTTCAACATTATTATTTCTTCTGGCAATGAATGATTCAGTGGTAAATATGTCTTTCAATATCCTTAAGTAATTATCAACTTTTGGAATTGTTTTTGTCAATGAGCAAGTGTAAATATATCTCTTAGCAGATAAGATTATGTGGTTCAATAATGGGTTCTTACCTAAAAAGCCAAACCAAATCAAAGATTTTGTCAAATTAAGTGTTTGGATACGTTTCGTAATCCACTGTTCAAGTTTCTTCCAGAAAGTTTTGGTTTCATCACATTCCCAATATACATGGCATAAAGTTTCAACAGAATCATTACACAAAGAACATATTGTATTGTCCACCAGATTCATTCTAAAAAGTTCTTTTTTGGTATAAACAATTCCGTGCAGAAATTTATATTGAAAATCTAACAGTTTCACATCTCTTAAATTTGTTCTACAAGTATGAAAAATCAAATGCCAATCAAAATCAATACAGTCAAATAATGTTTCCCATTTTGGCACATGTGAGGTTTAACATTTTCAGATAACAATTTATCATCAAATATTCTTGAACCTTTTCTTGGGGATATGAAATCCTTTTGGAATGAATTTATTGTGAGGTCATTAATGTTTATATATCTATATTCCTTTAAAGTCTTTTACCAAGGTTCAGGTAAAATATATATAACATATCCAAGATCTAAGTGAGTACCTTTTATACCAAATTTAAGCTTCAATTGATCAAAGGATATAAACCCATGTTCATCACAAAGATCTTTGATCGTCAAGATTCCACTTTTAGCCCAGTGACTAATGATGTGATTTGAGTATTTAAAATTGTTATTCAACCATAAAGGTTGGGCTAAAATTTCGTTAATGTTCTCTGCATCTATGGTATTTTTGATACAATATAATTTCCATGCTTTTAATACGTCTTTCCAAAAGGGTTATCAACTGCAACTATATTCTGAAAATTTGCTCCATATTTTAGCATATCCCTAAAAGGAAAATCGCATGGGTGATCCGGATTTGTTTTTTTAAGTATAGTTTGAGTGTAGATAATTTCATGGCGTTAACAAAGGTTTTAATATCAATCATCCGTAGCCTCCCCATTTTGTAATCCTTTTTTTAAAGTGCTCCGTTTGATTTTGTCATTTTGTCATTCCAGTTGAATTTAAAAAATATTCTCTCAAGCGCGATGAGAAAATCATCTGGAGGGTTAGGTAAAGTGTTAGAAATATGAACTTATTTTGAAAGTGCCAATGTCTTAATAACAGTAATTTTCCCCTGTCAGCGTCAAATGTCTTTTTCTCCAAGCTGCTAGTAATCTATTAATTTCTTCTAGTCTTTTCTTTGTGTTAATAACCCATAAATCATTCAAATCCGGAGTAAATGTAATTCCTAATACTTCAAATTGTTTTCTTTGCCATTGTATATTCAAATCTTCACATAGTATATCCCTTCTACCAGCTTTTGAGCCAATCCAGATTGCTTTAGTCTTATCTATGTTTATCTTTAGTCCTGACATGTTGTAAAATGTATTAAGTGTGTCTATAGCAGAATACCAGTTTTCATCTGAGCCATCCAAAAATAATTCAGTGTCATCTGCATATTGACCTAATTTGTATTCTTGATCATCAATTACAATACCCTTTATAGTTTCATGTTGCCTTATACATCCTAGGATTTCAGCAGCAAAAAGAAATAGATATGGAGATATGGGATCCCCTTGCCTACAACCCCGTTGATTTTGGAAGAAATCAGAGAGATGCCCATTCTGAATAACACAGGAAGTTGTGTCATATGTTAAGACGTTAATCCAACATATATTCTTTGGACCAAAACCAAATTTTATTAGGACAGAATTGATAAAATCCTTAGAAACTGTGTCAAATGCTTTTTCGAAATCGATCAAAATTAATAAACCTGCCATGTCTCTTTTCTTAGTTTCAAACATAATGTCATATAATAGTCTTGTGTTTTCACTGAATGTTCTGCCAGGTATAAATCCAGTCTGGTTGTTAAGTATCAGGGAATCAAGGGTAGTTTTTAACCGATTTGAGATACATGCGCTTATTAATTTATACAGAGCATTAAATAAAGTAATTGGTCTCCAGTTCTTCAATAAGATCCTATTTTTATTAGCTTTAGGTATACAAGTGATAACTCCTCTCTTCATGGTAAGAGACATCTTATTTCGTTTTGATACATCTTTGATAAATCTGAAAATCCAGATCTTTAGTTCTTTCCAGAAGAATTTAAAGAAATCAATTGGAAATCCATCTATACCTGGGCTTTTGTTATTTTTCATACTTTTTATTGCCAATGATATTGATTTATGTCTAATTCTTTTTCCAATTTGTCTCTCTGTTGGTGACTCAAGGTTGGAGTTATCACATTTTCTAAACATGCATCATTCCCATAGTTCTCAGCAGAAGAATACAGTTTTTTATAGAACTCTTTAAGTTCATTTAAGATTGCATCGCTGTCAGTAATTTCGTCATTCTTATCTGTAATAATTTAATTAATTGATTTGCTGACATAATTTCTATTTTCTGAGTGACAGAAATATTTTGTTGGTTTTTCCCCTTCTTCATACCGTAGAATTCTGTTTCTGAGTTGAATTCGTCGTATCTCTTCTTCCTTAATTTGTTGTAGTTCTGATTTTAATTTAGAAAGTTCAGATAGTAAGGCTTCATCTACGTTTTGAAAATCGTTTTTAATAGTATCTTCACAGTCTCTTATTTTAGTTTCTAACTCATTTGTTTTGTCCTTTGTTTTCTTTTTAAGATAGGATGAAAAAGATATTGATTTACCTCGAACTTTCATCAGAAATGTTTATAAGAAGAAGCTGTCATCTATCTTAAGTTTGATATCTGAGTCATTCACATTCTCAACATCTGAGTCAATATCTGAGTATTCTTTAGTCGTCTCCTTTAAGATTGATCTGACTAAATCAGCATAATCGGGATTTAAGAGTAAAGAAGTATTGAATTTCCAGTAACCCCTCCCTCGTTTTTGATTAATAGTGTTTGAGTTGCCATGACGTTGCAGGATAAACAATATTTGGTTTCGTGAGGATGCATTGTGTTCGAAAGATCTGGTACATACGCACCCTTTCTGGACTATATTATTTGATCTCTGATTATTTATACACTCACCGTGCATTTCTTTCATCATGAGGTAGGTCAATACTGACCAGTTCCTTTATCAATAGCACGACAACATATTAGACTTACCCTCGTTGCTTGTCGGACCTGTGTCCAAATTTTAGAGTGATACTAGTAATCAGACAATCGCATATAGAGTTAACCGCTCGTGTTATTGTTACCGTTGGCGTCGCCATACCACGTGCCTTTATTCATAAACATGACATTGGCACGCGTAGTTGCAAACATTACGTCAACACATGACGTCATCACACTACGCGACAGATAACAGTGAGTCACCTCACTTCTTGCGTCACAACTGAACTCGCCTGTCGCGGACAGCTGTTACCTCGCCCTCCCTCCAAAGTGATCCCTTGTACCCTGTATCTCATTGCGTGTACATTGCAATCTAGGATATTTAATATTGTTACGTTGTATCGTTTCTTCATTGTTCATGAATTAAAACGTCATGGTGTGTATGGCCTGTTTTTTGGTGAGAAGCTTTCAATCGGTGCTGCTGGTTGTCCTCTTTCACAACGGAAGCCCGATAAACAAAATTCCAGCCTGCTACACAGTAGGTAATTTATTTGCTCGCTATGCTCACCTAGTCTGCTTGGTCACAGCGAAGAGGTGATCGTGTAATATGCTCTCTCTGCTACTTCTCACCCCTGTATTGCCATCCACACATATTGGCCACTACTTCCCAATAAAATATCTGCATTTTCTATTTTCATAAAGCTAGTCCAGCAATAATACTTCAGGTTCACTCATTACCTATAAACGCTGGTGTGATTTTGTATGGTATTGACCTGATGTCAAAGTCATTCATGGCCAAGTTAAACAAAAAACTCATTAGAGAGAAGCACGAAATGTGTAACGTTATCGACCGTTCCTGTCGCCATAGTAGCACGTGTTAACGCATTCATTCCATTTCAACGAGATATCATTGTAGAACACCATTAATCTATCTGTTCCACATTATATGATGTAGTCATATAGTTATCATTATGAACACTCTAACTGCATCGTATACAAGCGAACCAGAATAACCTTTCTTATAATATCTCAATGACAACTATGATCGAAAGCAAATAGTTCACTAAATTCATTCTGATAGCAATCTAAGCAAAACATGGTAATTAAGGGTGTGTAAATAATATTAACCGAAATAATTATGCGGAATGTATTGACATGAATAACTGTTCATCACACTGATGTGTGTTCAGGTCTTGCAAAAGGGTTTTGCAGTGAAAATGTTCCTCTCAAAGGGATGTCACATACACATTTTATACAATGACTAAGGAAGAGTTGCACTTTTGTCAAAAACATCGCTCCTTTTCTAGGACACTTTACGAACCAACAGAACAGGACTGAAGTTGTTTATCTTTATGTTGACCAACATCATTAGTGAAAATTATATTTCCCCGCATTGTCACATTTAAAGATGTAAAGAAATTCTTCTGTGGCTGCATATATATTTGTCCTCTGCAGAAATATTTGAATTGCACAAAGTGTCTTCACGCTTGATACGACTCCATGCAGGAAGATTAGATCCTGAGACTGTAGCTGCAATAGGGGCAGAGGAATGGCTGTAGCACAGAATACATTTTCAGGCAAATGTTCCAGAAATTAGCAAGAACATTCATAATGAACCTTCAGCAACCTTTTTCATAAAAGTCTCATCTGCGTTTACGGGAAATCGTAATTACCTGAGAAAACCCTCAACCAGTCCTGAAAAACATAAAATGACTGTACAGCTGATTGTAACAACTAGTGTTTTTGTGAACACGAAAATAGGAATGTCGTGAATAACTTATTACGAGAACTCATAAGGAAAAAATCAGAGGCTTTCTGACGATTATGTCAATTTATTATTTATTTTAACAAATTCATAATTTAAAATTCAACTAAATTAGACACACTTTTTGTGATGTACAAAAAATGGTTTTGACTTTCAATAAGCATAGGAAAGCATATCAATCATTGCATAACAACATGTTTGAAATTTATATTGATCCGTTTTTTGTACTGGAAAAAAATTGAAATTGTCCTATGTTTCTACTGTTACTATAAAAGTATATTTAACTACTGAAAATTGTGTTTCATCGGCTATACACAACAGTTTACTTCAGTGCTGAATAGGTTTGATATGCTTGACTTCGCGACCATATTTCCATCTACTCAAGATTGTGAGAATGAGAAAGAGGAGGAACTCTCCGAGTTCTGTGAGTGTCAGGATACTGGCTCCCAGACAGATGCCCATCTGACCTCCCAGGTTACCTGACAACATAAAATGTATATACCCGTTAGGAGCTGCCCTTTGTAGTGTGTTTTGAGAAGATTACAAAGTTGTTGGGTAGTATCCGGACAGAATGCATGCACACATCGCCCGCGTAGGAACATGTTATCCAAACGCCGACTTATATATATCTACGTGAATCTCTAAAGCCAATCTGAAATCAGCATGTCATGACAAACGCTGCACTCTCCGTGTTAATAACGTCACAATGTTTATTGCAAGATCTATGTATGAATCTGTCACTCACCTATTATGGTCTCAGTTGTGTACTGTGGAGTTTGTGTTGTTGATTGAACGACCAGTTTTTCATAGAACATCCGTATTTCGAGAAGGTTGTCCCTGAAAATATGCACTGTGTATTGTAGTATTACTAGTCGTTGTACAGGGGCAGGTGTACAATACAGGACAGAGTACAGTCACCGTAGTGAAATTCTGTTATTCATGTTAATCAGGGTTATATGCCTAACACGGTTTTACAATTCAATATGTATGTACGCAGAACATAACTGCTTTGGGGATCAAAAGGACACATTAATTCGACATAACAATAAGATTTTAAGAGTTAGCATGTTTTGACAACCAAATGGTCATCGGTTTCATTAGAAAATGAAAGCTATCAGGTCATTCCTTCTACATTGTGTAGATCACGACATCCTGAACTCGGGAAATATGACAGTTCCTGTTACAGGTTATTACAGTAGGATACACAGAGATACCTGATAAATTCTTCATCTGGAGCAAGCCCAAGTTTCAGTGTAAGCGCCACTGTCACATCCGATGGGTATCTCGATGTGGATAGTTTGACATCGTACGTCTCGAATGAACATGGCACTTGACAGCCGCAGGATTTCTGAATCGTCGCATTTTGCCTGAGAGATACTAAACGAAAATATATAATATTACAGGGGAGTAATTATTAGTCATCAAATATTGTAGCATTTGAATAGAAAAGATTTGAATACCAAACATGACCAATGTTATTGTGTTTCATGTACATGTGTCTGAAAACACCTTTGTTTTAGTTCAAACGCGGACTTTGTGTCCAAGTCGGCTGGAAACAATGTTAGACCTGACTGCTTATATAAGTGTTCTGGAATTTTGAACAGTGATATACCAAGAATGTATTTAAATGTTCTTGCGACGGAAAAGGCAAAACAAGTATTCATAAATTCACATAGCAGCAGAATGAACTCACTATATTCTGGAACGTAGCAGGTTGTGAAGTTGTAAAGGGAACAAATTTGTCCTATACTTTCTGCAAATAAAAGTTTTATGGTTAGAAAAATGGCTATTTTGAGAAAGAAATGAGAACGTTTAATCAAAATGATGTCTGCACAGGTTGTTCCCTTATATGAGTCAAATAATGACGCATTTTATACGAATAGGCAACAATTACAACAGGACATGATCAACTCAATATTACTTTCAAGCGCCTTTGTAGTGAGTGAGTGAGTTAATATGTATTGGCACATCCGCAATATTTCAGCCATATCGTGACAAGAACACGTAGTTATCAGTAAAGATCAATATAATTAACTATAAAACTGTTTACGATGAACAGTAAAACTACTAGTGTATCACAGATACAGATATAAAACTAGCATGTAACTAAAAGCTTATACTATAATGCAAGACAATGCAATAGAAAAACGGGCTGTGGATCATCAGCAAATGAGGGTAGATCACTTGCGTACCCTTACAGGAGGACAATACAATACTTCAACCCCCCTGTGAAGATATAGCAACTCACAATTCTAGCTGCTAATCAAACTGCCAATAATGAAATATTTGTCTGTTTACAAATCATTTATCCAAATGTATGTTACAATTCAATTTATTTATAAAATGCAATAATTAAATGATAATTAAAAAGATCATGAACTGTTTTGGCATTGAAATATTTATCCCAAAAAAGCAATGCAGTCTCTCATCACAAGGGATGCAAAACGAAGGATCTTCACCCTTCAATAAATACTCATGTATATATCGTGTATGGCCAATGCGCAAAATGACTTCGTCAAATCTGGACTGACAACACAGGTAGGTTTAACCGATAGTTACGCGGTGGGCGAGCTGGCTAAGGCGCCAGGCTAGTGATCCAGCGAGGTTGAGGTGTCGGGATCGAGCCCACCTGTGATCGGGTGTAAAAACCTTGGAGTCAACTGTGTGTAGACTCTTTCAGTGTTGTCACAACCCCTAGTGTACAGTACGCAACCCTGTGCACTTAAAAGAACCCACGAATCCGTTGGTATATGATGGAGGCCACATGAATACGTGCAAACACCAAGTTGCGGGTACAGCAACGTGCAGTGAACTTGGACAAAGTATTGTGACTATGTGTCCCAGTCCATCCAGCTGTGAATGGGTACCTCGTTAGGATGAGAAAGCCACAATAACTCGGTGCGCCTAGTGGCTGCAAGAGCTCTATACTCCCCAGGGAGTTGAGATTGATATAAGATGTGCTGTTGAGATTGACATCCAATGATTGAGGGGAAAAAAAACAGCTCCTTGAGCATGCACTAGTTGCCTGGATATGTGCACTATATAAATATCCTATAAAAAATATCTTATAATAGTTGTTCTAGATCACCATATTAAAGCTTCATTTTTACAGCAGAAGCAAACGATCTAATGGTAGCTTTGTAATCGGAGTATGGAATGATAACTGCAGTCACAGATTTCTTGAGTTAATCATTGTGTTACCAGAGATTCCAACATGGCTGGGTAACCAAAAGAGGACGATGTCGTATTGGCCAGTTGCAATGTCGTTATATTATTCAATTATTTCAAATATAAGACGTATTTTTAATAGCCTGGAGTCACAAAGGGGAATCTGAAAAGACTATATTTAGTTTATATTTAGGGTGTTTTTAATATATTTAAGAGGCGTTAATAAGGCGTTTACTTCGGCTGTAACAATGAAGATTTGATCTGATGATCTAGAACAAATTGTTCTGGATCCAATTTGACAGAGGCACACTGCGCCACAATCTTTGGATCCATCTTTAAATAAGAATTTGCATGTATTTGTATTTTATTTACTTTTTAATTGATTAGATTCTTGTATATATATTGTAATTCATTAGTTTCAGATTTTGTAAATGTTGTCAGTGATAAGTGTCTTTGTAAATGCAGAATTCGTTCAATCTCGATTGGTTGTTCAGGCATTGCTGGATAAATCGGAATTGCCAGCAGTCCTAACGTGATCACGCAGAAGGGACGAGGTACAAGCATGTTACGTTATTTAGCTTTTCATAAGATGAATTTGTCTAATTAGAGTTTCTTATAAAAAATAGGTTTCCCTATTAATGTCATGTCTAAGAACACACAATTATTACAATATACATGCAGTTGAGGTTTCGTCAGTTAAGGGTACGCATTGACAACTCACTCAGAGCTTTCATACAGACAGGATTCTATAAATAGAAACTTAATAATTATCCATTCTGTTCCAGTAATTGTCACTTGATGCTACATCTTACCGTTATCTCCTGGCTGAATGCAACCACAGCGGTCGTGACTTAACTTTGTGATGCATTCCTGGAGACAGTTTTCATATGTGTAGGTGTCGAAATATTGCAGCGTGTTATCAAATGAGGGTGATAAAGTATCCACGCATGTCCGGTTCCTGAAGGCCTGATAGGGTGGTGGCAGGTACTCGTACTGATACAAATAACATCATACATAACATGCATCTCATTTCGTCTGAACAATTGTGTTATTTACACAAAACTGTTGTAGGTAGTTTTCATGGCATGCATATGATCTTTCTGCGATATATGTACATGTAGTTCCATACATTCATTTGTAACCAGTAATGATATCAACTGTCAGGGCCTAACAATGCATATCTAATTCAAAGTGTTGGTCAGTATGATTTGAATTCCTATTGCATTGGTCACAAGGGTTCAACCACCGTGATTCATGACTGGTAATTAACGTTTGAGATATTGCATTCTTTGTGTTGTAAGGTTTGAACCTTGTTGATGAGCATCGGTGTAAACAACCATACTCCAGCAATATTAATTCTACTTACAGCAGAAAAAGTCATGAAACGAACGGAGGGGAAAGACATACAACGACTACATACATGTTGTTTCACTATATCAACTCCTCATTATTGGTATTGAAAATACAAAATGGCACCTGGCACATGCATATTTACAAAGATTGAAAGTTGATGACAGCGTGCTTTAGCAGAGACCATGTAAGTGTGTATGTAAGTGACTTACCGTTGATCTGTGAACAGAAGCGTATGTTGATGTTCCTGGAGCTGCCAGGAAGGAAGATGTCGCGAGATCTGGATGTACACGAGGGTCGTGTAAAATTACCTGCAGTGAGTGAAACAGCAATTTAATTATTTAGTCAGTGATATATATGTGCGTCATTTCACCATCAAATCACAACTGGAACTAAATGGATTGTGTTCAAACTGAAAATGAGCAATTACTTCCTTGAGTAAATATGTCCGTCGTGTTTGTTCTGGTAAACACATAGAGGATCATCTATACACCACATGTATAATTTACAATTTACTGTTCATACATTTAGGTGCTCAACGACACAAACCACAGTAGTGAGTGAGTGAGAGAGTGAGCTAAGATTTAAAGTCATCGTAAAGTACATCGAGTAAAATTCAAAAAGAGGACGTAAATGTAGGCATGCTATTCTCAGGTGTGTTTTGTTTTGTTTTTTCCTTTTTCTTCCTATTTTTTTGTCTTCCCATTTCTATACTTGCTATACTTTATTAGGTATTAATTTGTTCTGCATACCTTCATCCCAGCAGCCACTTCGGCCCCATGGACATAGTTGGCCTGATCAATATTGGCATTCAGGATGAGATTGTAGTTTGATCCAGTAAGTCGAACTTTAGCAACATCAGAAGCATTCCAGTTGAAGGTGGCACAGAGACCCAAGAGAGTCAAAATAGGTTTCATTGCAGCGGTGCAGGGGTAATATCCAACACCATTCATCAAACAACTAGTAAACATTTCTTTTGGGGCCATGTAAATATTTTCCCACCAGTCGCGTTTGTGACTCTTCCGAAATGTTGACCCGTAGCCAGGGTCACTCCAATTTATATTCCCTGTCAATGGTCCTAACAAGCTGGTCTTTGTGAAATACTCCTCCAGATAAGGATCGACTGCTTTAATCTTGGTTAGATTAAACGGACTCAGATTGCAGAAGGTGACGGCAGGAAAAGGCAGCTCCTCGATGACTTCCACCTTCGTGTTAGTTATCACTGGGCGTCTGTAGTAATTCATCAGCTCCTGTGTTATGTTGTAGGTCATGTATCCTGTCATCACCAAAACTGCGACGGTCCATGAAAAGCTAAGAAAACAATTTTATAAGAATCTTGATGCATACCTTTTCGAAGGGAGGTGAGATTCTGAATTTTTTTTTTTGGGGGGGGTCTGTTTTTTTCATTTAAGAGTAATAAGCCAGTGATTGTATTAACCCATTCAGCACCGCAGGCCGATAAACCGGCCAAGAGGTCACGAGTCCCTGGACACCTGAGGACTGTTAAGCGGCAAGGCAGTAGCCACATCGACATTATGTAGAATTTTAGGAACCTACCTGAGATATTATTCATTTATTATTCATGAATAAAACCAACAATAGTACTCATAAACGTTGTTAAACGTACATTGAAGTTATGATTTCATCTTTTCGTGCGTTCGTGTAATGTAAGTCGCGTGACATCTCGGCTTTCCCCCTCGCCTAAATCACTCAGACACGCTGTTTAATACGAAATTATATTATGCATGAAGTATTTTTGTCGAAGTTCCATACTTTAAGTATAGGTGGTGAGTTCTTGCTTAACATGTTCAGAATGGCATGATTTCACCCAAAGGTTTTTCGTCTGCGAGGACGGAATCCATTGTTGTAAAATGACTGGCTTCCCGTAGGTCAAGTGCATTATTTTGATTAATCACGATCATTATAACAGACTTAAGCAAAAGAAACCGGCATTAGAAACCACTTTGTATCCAATAAAACACTTCTAACAACTGCGAAAATACTCCTGGCGAGGTTTCGGGGATATTATTGATGTTCAGAGCTTTCCTACGATACACGCCATCACACGAATCGTCTCGCGTGTTATTAATACAAATCTTTGTAAACTGACGTACATGTATTTCCCGCTGTTGTGTTATGGTGGAAAGCCACCGATATCTGGAAATAGGTGACTATACATGTTATTTAAGATATTTTACAAAATATGTATATTTTTTCCGATAATGTAAAAATGAAAATATAAAAGAAAACGGTAAGGGGATATTGTGACACGGTACAAATGGAAAAAAATAAAATCACTGCAGTTTTCTCTTCTTTCTTGGTTTATCTGGACATTAAATATTATCATGCTAGCATTTTCATTAAAAATGAACTTATTTAAGTTGTGGTTGTATTATTTGAATAATATGATAAAATAACTTTCATATGTATCAACAGTAGGAGTACACCTTTCAGATAGTATATGACATGTAGTAGCAATAATTTTGTACAAGCTGATTCTTTCCATGATAAACGCAGGTTGCATCTATGACCTCAGAGTCTGTGGAAACGCGGTGTCATCGCAGTAAAAGCGTTTGGTTGACTCGTGTTGAAAGAGTTAAACTTGCAACGGTCTTGCTTATTCACTCATCCATTAGGGCGGTGGGGTAGTGTTGTGGTAAAAGCGTTCGCTCGTCATGTCGGAGACCCGGGTTCGATTCCCCACATGGGTACAATGTGTAAAGCCCATTTTCTGGTGTCCCCCGGCGTATTATTGCTGGAATATTGCTAAAAGCGGCGTAAAACGTAACTCACTCACTCACTCATACATACAGTAGGACTGTAATTACACAGGTTGTTAGTTTAAGAACAAACAATAATAAGGTATAATGTGGTAACAGAAATTAGACATCCCAAATGTATCATGGTTAAAAATACCTATTCCTACGGCAATGTGTGCATATAAAACCAATTATTACAACTTTTATGCGTACATTGTTATATTTCAGTCATAGACGCACAAGAATACTTGTTTTCGAATGAATAGTTCCGTACATCTTGCCATCTCTCAGCAGTACATATTTACACATGAGCATTCATTAAGTGAGTGAGTGAGTTAATAGTTAACGTCACATCAGCAATATTTCAGCCATATCGTGACGAGAACATATTTGTCATTGAAGCATTCATTAAGGTGAGGTGAGGTGGAATTTGGTTTAACGTCATGCTTGAGAATATTTCGCTCATATGACGACGTGCATGCGTGTGTATGTGTATGTGCGACTGATTGTACTAGCCAAAACTTAAGCTGGTTTTATAGTGCTAGCCCACTGAGATACCATGCCGCAGTTAAGCATGAATACCCCACTCAGACACATTATACTGACTCTGAGCCGACCAGTCCTTGTTGTAAGCATTAATGCTGAGCGCAAGGCAGGGACCAACAAGTACCATATGTTAACGTCTTTTGGTATGACGCGGTCGGGGATCGAACCCGCGACCTTCCGCTCTCCGGGCGGACGCTTAACCACTACACCACGGAGGCGGTCGCATTCATTAAGCACCACCTGAATCAAAAGGTATGATTTTTATGAACGGTTGATCCACTCACTCAATGATATACTAGCATGTGTATGTGTATGCGCTTTACACATTACCTAGAGACGTTTACTTGACAAGCACATTTGGGTATAAATTGTACAATACAATTGTAAAGAAAACATTTTTATAATAGAACAGATATTCAACAAATGCACGATGGCACTCTATTGGTATAGGTGACGCAGGGATATCATTTCTCAACCTCAGTGACATCTTGGACATTAACTAGACGGTTATTAGTTGACTTGTGAAGAGGCACGTGGCCACCAGTAAAGCAAAATATCGTCCAAGGCCTGGAAGACATGAGGAGACCAACGACCGGGATGGGGAGGTACCCGTGAAGATCTGGGTTAGAATTGATCCCCAGTAACTCATTGCCTTGTAAGAGGCAACTAACGGGATCGGGTGGTCCGGTTCGCTGACTTGGTTGACACTTGTCATCGTATTTCAGTTGTGTAAATCGATGCTCATGCTGTTGATCGCTGGATTGCCTAGTCCAGACTTATTATTTACAGACCGCCGCCATATAGCTGGAATATTGCTGAGTGCAAATTCACTCACTCATTATATGAGAACTGTGTGGCAATCTTATTGATGCTATAGTCATGGTGACTATACTGCCCAGCATTGCTGTTGTTCACGTTTTTATGTATTTTGTGCGTTGAATAAAATATTGAAAGTAAATGGTTACCAAGTTCAGTTTCAGTGTTGTTTTCATTTAAAGCAAACTTACATATATTTCAGTTAACATTTCAATACGAGGAATTGGTTTTAAAGGCAGATACATCAGCATGTTATGTTGTGGTAGATATATGATAAATAGAGGCAGGTGCTTCATCAATGCTCATGTGTACAATAATGTTAAGCTGTGTGGCACTGTAACATTGACAACTGCAATGACATGCAGCAATAGGTTTACATCAACAGGCATGGTATGAACAATATCTTAAACGTTGTTGAACATAGTTACACGCTGATGGACTGGCCGATACACGCGGCTCTACAATGCAGTTCCACATAGGTCGTTACATAGGTAGTTCAGGTGAAGAGAAATAATAATGCACCAGCATTATCTGTGCATCTGTGAATGCATGTGTAAACACAAAAGAGGGTGAAGTAGAATTAGCACTAATGCCGAAACTCAGTTTGAATATGTGGGTGCTATGTACTCACTGTCGTCAACGTTTGATGCATAATGCTAAAGTCTGATACAACGTTATATTGTGCAAATATTTTGTGAAAAGGAATGTGTTGGGAAAGAGAATCTGAATGATATGAAAATTGATATGAATATTTGATTGTTTAAAGGGATGATTACATTAAGTTTGGAAGTAGTCTGGACAACATAAACTGTAAAGGAAGAAACGATTGAAGAAAACGATGCTGATGTGTTTTAATCGATGTTTTAGATAAGGAAAAAATTAAACTACATGAGTTTTATGTTGTTGCAACTGGCTAATACTACGCCCTCAGATTGACTGGGGCCAAACTCAAAGTCAGTCTCAGGACAATCATAATATTCCTAAACTAAAACTGAAAGAGTTATATGAAATTCACATAAATGAGACGAAATACAGCAATGGTCACACTATCAGACAATTACTATGCAATAATCAACTCACCATCTAATTTTGTGGTTTCGTCCGGGGGTCAGTTTATTCACTCCGTGTAATCCTGTGCTCTGGGTAAAATCAGTCCACAAACTACCTATTTTCTCTTCAGTACATGTCGGTCCATCTGTCGCTTCTGTTTTAGATGACATTTTATAAAGACATATCGTGCTGACATTCCCTACCCCAACCTTTGCAGACTGATGGGTCTCACACATTAGCCACCAGCAAACTACATATAAAATCGACCCTGCTGTGAACATGAAACAACATCCTAATGCACTATTATTGTATCGATCGCTATATGTGTAGGTTGATGCATGTGTTTCAGTTATGGCTCTGATGAAGCGTTGTCTATTCCACAATGCCATCGTATTTGATGTAATCAATCATGTGTGTCCTTCAAAATACTTTGTTGTTACTGATCACCGGAATGCTCTCTCCGCCACATGTTCCTCCGTTATAGGTTCATTATTCATTAAATATTTAAAAGATGTTCAAATCGAGTATTACTCATGAGGCCTTTTGGTTAGGATTAGTTCCAGAATGTATTGGCATGAATGATGGTTTATCATGTTGATGTGTATTCAGGTCTTGCAAGAGGAACTGTGAATAGGGGCAGGAAATTAACAATTAACTCAGGGGGCATATGCATTGCATGACTCTGTAGTGAATACGTTCCTCTAAAAGGGATATCACATACCAATGTCATATAAGCAATAACGAATAGTTGAACTTTTAACAAAGCAAGTCTTCTTTTTGACGACACTGAGATGAAGAGAGACACTTTAAAATCAAACAAAAACAACTGAATTTTGTATCTGTCTGGCCATATCTTCCTGTTGCTGTTTACAAGAACACTTATCATCTACCACAAAATCAGACCGGAAATCAGTAATATCACACGACCGCATCAACTGGCTTAATCACAATGTAATTTGGGACAATCTAGAGATGTTATCGAAAAACATCCCGGACCTCATCAAAAGGAAAATTTGCATAAGCAGTTTAAATGCGAAGAAAGAAACCTCCGAGATTGTAATACATATTTCATCAGGGCTCCCTTGGGAGCTGCATTCGCCATCTTACACGCGCATGCTGCATGTCATTGGGTAGCCGGATCCTGGACCTACGCGGGGAATGTTTCCGTTTGTTTTTATGCAAATCTAAAGCCGAGCAATTAATGTTTCTGTGGCTTTAAGCTATCTGGTTTTCTTTCATGTAGATGCCAGTGGAAGAGTTTTGTTCCGTGTCTCTTCCAATGGAAGTCGCCTGCTCCATTGCATTTGGAAGCCTGACAGTCTGTCATATCTATGCGTGTTATACACTGTTGGAATTTTGAGAAAACGCTCTTTCCAAATATGCAAACGTGAATATTTTGCTTCCCCTGGTAACCACTACAGACTCAAACTCAGGCGTGACGTTTTCCGTGACTTGACTGAAGTCAAATTCTTCTTTTTATACTATTAGAGATGTTCGCCAACATCATGCAGTCAAGATATAACGGCTACTACTCTAACACATCACCTCAGAAAATGCATTTCTACAGTGCGTTTGAAAATCATTTAAAGCATGTTTTAGACAATGTATAAAATGCACATCTTGCACATTCAGTGGTGGAGCTATTTCGATGGCGGAATTTAGATGAATCTGTGCACCGGCTATACCGGCAGTGTAAATATTTACATAAATAGTGCATTTGCAAAAAAACATTCATGTGTGGTTCTGGAAATATGTAATCATTATATGTTGTTGTAGAACATTACATAGCTGAGCTTTACAGGAATGAATATGCTTGACAGGACTAAAACTTACAATAGTTTGGAATGAAGCCATAACAGCAATATCTGTAGTCTTAACATTTATGTTTCAGTGCATTGGAACGCCCTTGAAAATGGGGTTCTGTCAAGGTATGATGTGCATTCGAGTCACATCTGATAGTCGGGCTATGCGTGTCATTATGTAACGGCGCTTTTGCTTTGGGTGGACCTACAAATCTGGGAGTGGGCGCACATGTTCCGTCAGTGTTACGGCAGCTATAATGTTTATATCCGTTATCCGACTTTCAATGTTTAAAAGGCATTAGGAAGCCCATACCACTGCGACTTGGGCAAGGTATAAAGCGTATGAAAGCATTCCGAATCTGATAGTGATGATTTATACCACAGTAGTAAAGGGGTTCAAACTTGCTGTTGTGGGAACGGTGCAGGAAAAATGGCACTCTTAAAAGAGCAACCTCCACGTGATGAGCGCTGATTAATATGAATAGCTCTTTAATGTGTGGTTCAGACAAGCTATAAAACACACTTGTGCAACATGTTTCAGATGGAGACGTACTTGTATTTTCGTAATATTTATTCTTATTTATATAAGTTATTGATATGTGTAGTATTTTGAAAACTCAGCTATAATTTTGACATCAATGGTCCGAGTTTTAATATATATATAACCATGGAAAAGACGAGGTGTTGTTGTGTGTATTCCATGGTCCGATTTTTAATATCTACAATGCATTCTAAAGCATATGTTTTTAGAAACTAGTCATTTTTTCTATACTTCGGTGGAAAATCCCATGTATCTTTTTTTTCTAAAGTATTGGCTTATATTGCCAGAAAGCACATTTGCGGAGGTGCATGCAAAACGGCGCTATTCTATCTCTTCAAATAAATTATTTATTAACTTTTTAAACTGCACAGTACTCTCAGTCGAAAGTCTAACATTCAAAGGGAGAGGGGAAAGAGGAGCCAGGGTGGCCACTGGTTCAGTTGCCTCTGTTACCAGGACACGGTGATGCAACGGGCACGGCGATGCGGCAATGGCGACGCTGCCCTCTACGTCTGCCCACTGTGGACGGAACAATGGAAGACCCGAGGTAGTGCATAGAGGGATCATTCCGACCTCCACCATGATCGAGCACTTGGAAGACTTGGTGGTTAGCGTGTGTAACGGTGCGCGACGCTGCTCATGTCATTCGTCATTCATTCTCCCGAAGATGTTCGATGTACAGGCGGCCATGGTCTAGCAGAACTGAAACAGGACGAGTCTTCACAGGTGGCTCGAAGGCGACTTTGCTGGAAGCAAGCTCAAATGTTGGTGTTGCCTAGGGGATGAAGGGGCGACCCTTATACGATAGGCGAATTGGTGTCTGGCGCAGGCAAACCAGTTCGAGTCTTGGCAGTTGATCAGAGGCGACTTGGCAGTAAGCAGGCCCAAACACTGGTGATTTGGGTGAAATGTTAGTGAAGGGAGTGAAGGGGGGACCCTTAGAGGAGAGGCGATAGTGGTCAGTGACGTCATTATGGATGGTCGTGTTTTCCTTATTTGTGATATTTTCCCTGCAACGGTGGAACTTAAGGCGGACTAAATTACAACAGAGCCACAAATGTAATCATAAAGACTCTTAATGTCTAGGGTGAGAACTTTATGAGCCGATGACGATTAGATCCTTGAGATATTAACGGATTGCAAAATGTCAACTTCATCTCTCTCACCACAGAGGCTCTTCGCAATTAACAAGCATTCACATGGATAAACTCTTCATTCAGTTAAACGTAAGCGCAAAGAAGTGTTTTCATTCCCAGATTCTGAAATAGCGTCTGAATATGAAAAAACAGTGCAATTTATCCAAAGAGAGTGATATTGACCTAGACATGTCAACAAACATGAGTGACACTGATGGTGTAAGTGGCTCCATAGATGTAAATGCTCTTGCCTCATCTGACATTTTCTTGGATAAACTCAAAGCGGCACTGCAAACTAAAGACGTCTTATCAGCCCTTTGTACCACAGTAGCAGATGTTTTCAGGGAGGAGATGGAAACTAACTGCTGCGAATAAGGAGCTTGAACACTCTGTTTCAACCCTAGGGATGAGCTGAAGGAAAAGGAACATATCATTGAAAATTTGACATATAAACTGAATGGGAGCGAGCAGTATTCTTGCGGGAATAACGAAAATTAAGTGGATACCTGAGTAAGGTGGGGAGAACACTGACGATCTGGTAGTATCGTTAGCCAAGTCAGATTGGGGTAACTGTAGATCCCAGAGACACAGACATCAGCCACAGACTACCGAAACGTCCTACAACTATCCAAACCCCAACCCGTGCCATAATTGTACAATTTGTCAGTAATGCCACAAAACGTTTAATCCTGCAGGCAAGATCTAAACTGAAGAATCTCAACATACCAAACCAACCAAGGATCTTCATCAATGAAGACCTAACAAAAACAAAGGCTATGCTCGCTGGTAAGGCTCGGGCCCTCATAGCTGACAAGAGGGTGGATGGTACATGGGTCACTTCTGGTGTGATACTGATAAAGTTGAAGGATGGCATTGTGATAAAAGGTTACTAACAAAGCCATTTTGATGAAGCGAATGCAGCTAATGTTGAAAGTGACTATCAGTCTGAGTCAGAAAGACCAAACTCCAAAGTAACTTACTTGAAGTAGATCATGTCATAATACACAGCGTACAGTAAATTATAACTTTGTGAATTGAACCTCTTTTCAGATTATCTACTGTGGACAACGAGACTGTTCCGACTTTAAGAAATATAGCTACTCCACTGAAATGTGCACTGGTATCCCTCTGATGATATAACAATTAACTAGTCGCTTTCAATCAACCTATGTTACTTGGAACGTTCTAAAAAGCGTATTTCAATACGTATTTCTAACATTTTGGGCTGTTGGCATCAAGTAAAGTCATGTTTAGGTCTGACAAGCCACTCTAGATGTGTAGTTGCTGAAAACTATTCGCTAACAAGCCACTCTGGATTATGTGCTTCTGCTGGCGAAGTGTAAAATCAAAACTCATGTTGCATGCTTTTGTAAACGTATTCACCAAGTGAATGATCGGCAGGTGATCTTTTTATTATCCAGTTATACCTCTCAATTCTCAGTATATCAATGACGAGACATTCGGTCAAGATGTTTAGCAATGTTTACAAATGAGGCATGACTTAGATAGCGGAAGTATTCTATGATCTGGATGTATATTTCATATAGTTTTGTGGTTTATGTCTACTAAAACTACATGCTTTTAGTACCAAAATGTGATAAAACAGTGAAACATGAAACAAATTACCTTTGAATTGGAATATCCATTGATCACAGCTTCTGTCATCATCACTCTGTCACGGTCGCGGTTTCACATTGTACGAGCACGCGCTAGGACAGAGGCCATGCTGTGAAAACTTTAGGTGCTGTAAATTTACTTAACACGTGTAAATTCAATATCTTACTGCTGAAACGCATGTATCCCTCACTTTATTACATATTATGTTATTCGGCTGTACTTGAAGACAAAATTACATAATCGTTCTTTTCTGCCTTCTGTTGCTCAAGCTTGGAATGCACTTGATATTAATATTAGGAATGTAGATTCCTTATCTAGGTTTAAGCATTTGATTTCCACAGAAACAAAGATTTCCTCAAATTTTACATACATTGCTAGTTATGGCCGACCCGAAACCAAGTGATTCTGTCTAGAATTAGGCTAGGTTGTAGTGATTTAAAAGCACACTTATTTGACTGATTTGTTATTGATGATCCCACTTGTTCATGTGTCCATAACAGAGAAGATGCCTTCCATTTCTTTCTATCTTGTCCCCGCTATGCCCAGTTTAGACTTGATAAATCCTTTGTCGTTAACCACCTTAGCATACATACTGTAGTCCACGGCAATGACGGTTCATCTCCTTCAGGCAATGAAAACATTATAAAATCGGTTCAAAATTACATAACTGAACCCCTTTACGGAATTTAAGTAACAACCTAAGAATATAAAATACATTTGGTGTCTTTATTCTTTTTTTATTTTGACTTTGATTCATTCATTATTGTCTTAATGTCTGATCCATGGAATTGATTATTATGCACTAGTTGCGGAGAACATTTGACATAGGCCTTTTGGCCTGTTTGCTTATCCTATTTCCATTTTGTTATGTCACAGAACATGTACAATGTGAACATTCATGGCATAAAATATGGTTTAAATCACACAAAAATCCCAAATGATTTATTGGAATAATTTGATAGATATATTTGCTTTATGATCTGTGTGTATTTATAGAGTTTAGTCTTCCACCTTTGCACTATCCAAGCAGATGAAACTGGTTGGCTGTTTTCTTCTGTTGATCATTTTACTTCAAAAGTGCATTCTATTTCTTATGCTAGTGTAATTAACGCACGAAAAGAAATAGCGAATGGGATCTTCGTAGTAATAGCCACAAGAACAAGAGGAATTTGAAGATATAAATGGTTCATATTTATGTGCGTTTAAATCGCTGCAACAGAGCTTGATCCAGAGTTTAAATTTTAGTAGTTGTGACTATTAGTATTTGACACATTAATCTGTTTCTTAAAACTACCCAATGTAGCCGATTCTCTGTGATCGGTAGCCAAAGTATTTCAAAATGTTACTGTATCTAGGAGAAATGACTTGGCATAATTTGCACTTTTACAATCGATAGTTTGGTGTTTCAAACGGTTTCGGAAATTGTAGTTTGTAGTGTCAGATACCTTAGGAGGGACGAGATAACTCAAATGTTTCGGAGTTAAATCATTTACCATTTTATAAAAAGCTGTTAGTTTCTGGATGTATTTTCGAGTGCTTAGTGGTTGTCGCATGAAAAATAATACAGTTCTAAATGCATCAAGACAAAGCGTTTGAAGTGTTAGTGCATGTTGCTTGGTACAGTTGTCCCAAATGTGACAACAAAAGTAAAAAATAGGCAAAACAAACTGTTTGTATATTGTTGGTAAAGTTTTACGTAAGAAACGACGTTTAAAACCTCTAAGACAGTTTACAATGGGTGCAACCTTTTTAGCGATACAGTTAACATGGTCAGTCCAGGAACAATCGTGCTATAAAGTAAGCCCTGCTTGATGGACATTTACCTGATGAAGGGGCAAGAAGTAGCCCAGAAACGTCGTGTTGTAAATATTAAAGAAGTTGTACATCCATACCATACGTTGTTATGTAAGCCCCAAGTGTTTATGGCTATTAACATATTTAATATTACTATCCTTAATTGTGAAATTTCGTTTTGGACTGTATTTTACGAGAAAATTGTATATAATCTGATTTATTAGGATTAAATGTATGTTGCCTTTTGTCAGACCAATCAGAAATTGTATCCATATCATTATTTAGACATAGAGGAGTTTTGTCAGGGTAATATGTTACAGCATAATGTGATGTGTAATCTGCGAAGAGACGGCTATTGCTGTTAATTCCTTCAGCGATGTCCTTGATATAAACTATTAACAATAGGGGTCCTAAGACAGAGCCTTGGGGAACCCCGGCTAAGACTGATCTTCGATCAGATGTGTAACCATTTATTCAACTCGCTGAACTCTATCTTTATATATATAACTCTCAAACCATTTCAACAAGTTACCCCGATATCATGACGTCTTAGCTTATGTATAATACCTTTATACCAAACCTTGTCAAAAGCCGTACTTACGTCACAAAATACAGCCCTAAATTCCTTACTGCTATATAATGCACCCGATATTAAGTCATACAGGAACGTTAAATGATTTACCGTTGATTCGCCTGGCGTAAAACCGGATTGTAAGTTTGTAAGCATTTATACCTAAAATGATTAAAAACATGTTTAAAGATGCATTTTTCGAAATGTTTGCTACGCAACTTGCCAGTGCGACTGGTCGATAGTTAGGGCATACATTTATACTGCCTTTTTGTGTACAGGAACAACTGATGCCTCCTTCCGGATATCAGAAAAGTGCCCAGTCAGATGATGAATTACGCCTTTTTGCGATTTTATGATTGCGATTGCGTTTACGAATCAATTTACGTACTTCACTGTTCATCCAGGGGGCATCTCGAGGCCCTATCGTAACGACTTTATTTGGAAAATATCTATCGCATAATTGAAGAATTGCACCAGTCAAGTCGCTTGCGATATGGTTAATATTTTCAGAGGCGTAATATGGCAACCAAGAGTATATAAGGTATTTTTAATTCCGTCAAAAGCAGCTAGTGTATAATTATATATTTTTCTCTCATAATTAATCGATTTTGCAATCGACTCTTTGATAGTGACATATACAGGGCAATGATCACTCCACACAGGATCTAGAACACCCGACTATGCAGTCCATGCGCAGAAATGTTCTCAACCCTAAACCGAACTTACTTATGAATGGGATCGCGTTCCAAGATGTTGACAGTCATGAACACCTTGGAATAACACTGCAAAACGACTGTTCATTGGACGCACACAATAACAACATTATTAAATATGTTCGTCCCATGATAA